AATAATAATAATAATAATAATCATAAACAAAGCCATAATATTAAAAATAGAACAATAAAAATATTGTGATTTTAGCAGTAGTAGGAAAACGGAATAATAACCAGAGTAACAATTAATGATCATGATAATTACCGCAATAATTACAATTATTGTTCTGTTTAGAATGGAAAAATGTACAAAACATGGAAAAATGTAGAGGCAGAACAGATAATAATTAAATTTAAGTAGCAGAAAAGGAATGTTTCGGTACATTAAGTCGTATATACTGTTTGTCAGCAAAGCATGGCCTAACCAGTATAAAATGGTTGTTCGGATCCAAAAAAGGAAAAAAAAAATAATTCCTCTGAAATTTACTGATTTACTTCAACCGTAAACTGCCACTGATCTATCATATTAAGCAAACAGACAGTCTTGAGCATGCTTCCTCAAGCAAGTTTCGGTAAAAGGAATCAACAGCGAATGTTATCGTTGCAGTCCCATTCGTATTTTTGTATTTCCCAAACATCGTATAGCACGAATTTCACAAAATAGTATATAGTACAGAAAATTCTAACATTACCTCTTATGTTCATTTTCATACAACCAAAACTGTATGTAATCATGCTGACTGTTTTGGTTCTTCGGAACCAAATACTCCTCGTCATGAAAAACTGACACGGCCACACATTCGCGTCCTAAAAAAAGCAATTATTACGATTGTAGGCGCTAAGCAGCGACATTTTTATGAAACCCGAAGTGCCGGAACAAAAGAAAAAACAACTTTATGAGTCTCACCATCTTCCAGTTTCCGTGGACAGCTTTCGATCGTTGAAATCGGCCCGCCACAGTAAGCAACACAACCGACTTCATTGATTTCCTGCTCTTCTAACAGTAAGGTCCTGAAAAACCTGTTTTTCAAAAACCTGTCAAAAGCAGTAAAATTTACCACAGAATTACATAATTACGCAAAAATTAGGTTAAATCAACTGAATACACATTGTGGAGTTATGTCTGTCTGTATATGTGTGCGCGTGTGCCAAAATAATTTAACTCGAAGCCTAAGTAATTTAAATTTTGTTGAATTATGACCAACTAGGAGAGTGCAACAGCCACAAAACCTAAAATTAAAATACACTTCTGCTGTCTAGCCCTTTGAGGCGGATTCAAATTTGTGGAAAAATGGCAGGCATACACGCACAAAAAAATGTAAAATGTTTTTTTTTTTTTTTTTTTTATAATGCAAGCGAATACAAAGGAACCAAAAAAAAGATCAAAAAATTTCAAGGCTCACAGTTTTTTGGTTTTATAATGCAGCATTTTAGGCTGAAACACAGGCAAACGTTGTTTCGGATTGCCCAAGTGAAGTTTCTGCGCATCATCAACATTCGTACAGCACTCTGCTGATGCACTCGGCTGCTGTTCGTCGTCGCCACAAAAAGGCAGCACAACAGGAATAGAGCGCTTTTCCAACAGTGCACTCAAATTTTCACTAAAATTCAAAATATTACAGGCAAATCTGTCTAGACTAAACTCTCGCTTCCAAAAAAAAAAAAACCAGCAAGTAAGTAATCAAAAGAGGATCACGAAGATGTCCCCAGTGTTGAAGTGAGGAGTTAAACAAAAATGATTGGCGAAAGATCGTTTAAAACCAGACTGCGTGAGTTCCCGTTGCCCCAGAGATATGGCCTTAAACCCGCACCGAATTTTCTAATTTATCGCTGTGTAGCTAGCTACGACAGGTGAAATTAGTAAAAAAAGGTCTAAAAAATCTGCGCTAAATCCTGAGAATATAAAACAGCACAACAGTATGGTTCCAAATCATCCCTAAGGAACAGAGAAATTAAGACGAACTCGAAATCACAGGACGGTACACAATTCAGATTGTTCGGATGATGTTCAAATTCCAAGAGCCTTTTGCAAAGCGGTTCCTTTCTTTGCAGTGCGCTGAATACTAAATTTGCCTGATCAACCACCTCTTGGTACTGGACCAGATCGCGTGGCGTTGGTGCATTTGCTAAATCAAGTACTAATTAGGACACTGCAAAAATTCTGATCAAAAATAAAAACTTACTTAAAAAAACCAAGAGAGGCCAGAAATTAATGAAAGCAGCAGCTGAAATGGATTGTGATATGATAAAATATGCAAATGCATAATATACACATGTTATATATCTATTTAAATTCAATGGTTGGCGCGGCGCAGTGGCAAGTAGCAATTGTATCATGCTGAAACTCGGGAGTTCGATATCGCCATCAGAATCAACTCCTCAACGGTTTTTTCATTCGTATTGACAGTAAACTAGCAGTGATGCATACCAGCGAGTAAAAACCGCTAAGTATTTTAGAAATTTTAAAGATACAAACAGTGAATATTCTTGGCAAAGTGACTGGAAGAGAACGGGGACCAGAAATCTATGTGTTAACATATGCAGTTTATTCTGCATCACTAGCCCACCGTGAAGAGAAGCACAATCGAGAAGTGGCATTCAGATCTTCCAAATAAGCAAGCCTGTATGTGCAATGACTTAGTAGCCTGTCTGTGCTTCATCCCTGAACTGTAAACACAGACGTCAGAGCCGGTGCGGAATGAGGTGGGGATCATCAGTACAGTGCCCTATTCCGCCATGTTAAAGGGAACATGTGGATTAT